CTTAGAGTTGCAGTTGAGAGGCCGGCAACTGAGGCGGCGAACGTTGGAATCTGCAGCAAGCAAGCCTCCCTGCTCGCTTCAGTGCCTGGCTGCCGGCTGCCATCTTGGCTGACAGTTAATTTGCATATACTCACTGATTAGCCAATGAAAAGGGTAGCGGTCGTACGCCAATTACCATGTTTCTCTTTTATTAGTGTAGATAGTTGGTCATATATAATAGTTGGTCATTCAGATAACAAACTAACTAGATTTCAAAATACAGAGCTATGGTTTATATGTCACATATAAATCTCCTGGATACCAATATTGATATTATCATCGTGAATATTAGTTTCAGAAAGAATGTTTGAAAAGACACATGGATAGTAATGCTTTCAAGGTTTTGAGTGATGATGGTGGACAGCCATTAGAATAACACAACTGCATACCAATTTATTTTTGAGAGGGTGGAAATGATATTAATGTTCCTGTCAGAATTAAAGAGATACATAAGCACAGACCAACCTTGAGAGGCAGGAAGTTGGTAATTTCGCCACCTCTTAACATAAGTATCCCATACGAAAAGCAATATATGCCTGCTTGAAATTTCAAAAATGTAAGCACCCTGAATTGGCATAATGTTTGGGTTATTGGCAGCCCTTTCAGAGGAAAACATTTAGAGGTAGCTCTTGGGTGAATTATACTAGAATTTCTCAAGATAAGGGGTTTGTATCAGAAAGTTTGACTTACTATGACATTTTATGTAGTTTTTCTATTATTAAAACAACTGTGAATATCTTTTGAGCCTTCTTTTCTGGGTGTTACCTAGTAGTAACATATGTCAGCCCTTGGACTTTAAGGTACTTATAAACCAAGATTACTCAGTAGTTGAAATGTCTGGCATACATACAGGCAAGTGTTCAGTAAATATGTATTGAATGAATAATCTTATAGTGAAGACAAAGCATGAACTGGACAGAATCAGTAAATTTTAGGGTCATGTTATGAACTATGACCATTTAGATCTGAAATCTTAACTTGCCTAGACTTAAGTTTCCTTGAATTAAGGAGTTGGGTTAGTGTATTTCTTAAGTCCCTCTAGCTCCTAAATGCTATGACATGGGTTCAACACTAGACTTGTTAGTACCTTTTCAACTGAACTCAATTCTCAATGTCTTACACCAAATCTTATAAGAAGTAAGGCATTGAGTGGTCTTACTATATCACCTGGATTTATTTTCCTTACTTGAATTGCTATAAATGTATTAAAATTAATCACCTATAAGTGCAGGTACTATACTCAGACATTTTCTAAGTATCATACATGGTCTCCACTCTCAAGGAACTTATAATCTAGTGTAGAAAAAAGAAATTTACAGAGTGAGGTAAAAGGAGATTTACAGTTGTTTGGATGGAAAATAATAATGCTGGAATAAACTCTGTGCCTCACGTACTCATGACTGTAGACCTACTTTTGCCCCATCCTGCATACAAAATGATGCAACTAACACAAGGAAATAGGGGGAGATGGACATGTTTCATAATTTCTTTGTTGTGAGTCTAGACTTTGTTAAAACTTGAAATGAGTAAATTACCTATAAAGAAGGAAATAGCAGAAGCTTTAGACAAAAAAACCCAAAAAACAACTTTGTGAACAGAAGTAAGGAACCTTGTATTTTAAAGAGCATACCCATTTTTCCTGAATCCATTCTAAACCCTTATTTTTCCTGTCTAATCTTACTCCAGATAAAACAGCCTTTAGGGCAGTCTGTCCCACATTTTGATATTTATGGTCCCATTGAATCATAGCCACGATTTTTAAAAAATATATTTTTATTGAATTCAGAGAGGAGGAGAGAGGGAGAAAGAGATAGATACATCAATGTTGAGAGAGAATCAACATTGGCTGCCTCCTGCACGCACCACACTGGGGGGTCAAACCCACAACCCAGAAATGTGCCCTGACTAGGAATCGATCCATGAACACAGGTTCATAGGTTGACGCTCAACCACTGAGCCATGTCGGCCGGGTGCCATGATTTTTGTTATACCTTTCCCCTGCGCACTTAATGTTTCCCTATACACTTTCTTATGTACTAATGTTTTCCTTCAATCGATTTACTATTTTTACTTAAGCAAATGCATTTGAGAAGAAGTTTGAGTAGAAACCCAAATCATTATATATGGAGATGATTATCTATATATATAAAAGTCTAAGTGACCGTCTCAACCGAACAGATTACCGAACAGGCTACGTGGGGCGACCAGGCCAGCAGGGAGGTTAGTGAGGGATGACCAAATGACTGAGCAGCAGGCTGCGTGGGGCAACCAGGCCAGCAGGAGGGTTAGTGAGGGCCGACCAAAGGACTAAGCAGCAGGCTGTATAGGGCGACCAGGCCTGCATGGGGGTTAGTGAGGGCTGACCAAACGACTGAGCAGCAAGCTGCTTGGGGTGACCAGGCTGGAGGGGGTGCAGTTGCGGGCTACCAGGCCAGCAGGGGGGCAGTAAGAGGTGACCAGGCCAGCAGTGGAGGCAGTTAGGAGTGACCAGGCCAGCAGTGGGGGTAGTTGGGGGTGACCAGGCCAGCAGGGGGGACAGTTAGGGGCAATCAGGCAGGCAGGCAGGCAGGCAGGCAGGTGAGCAGTTAGAAGCCAGTGGTCCCGGATTGTGAGAGGGATGTCTGACTGCTGGATCAGGCCTAAACCGGCAGTCGGACATCCCCCGAGGGGTCCCGGATTGGAGAGGGTGCAGGCTGGGCTGAGGGGGACCCCCCCCATGCATGAATTTCATGCACCAGGACTCTAGTTATAAAAATAAAAGCACATCATTATTTTATTTCTGTGTCCTGATGCCTTCTTGAAGCTTCTGCACCTGAGACCTGCTCTTCTGTTTATAAAATGGAAACTTACCATACACTTAGGGAGGTTATTAAAAATGTACTGTTCCCAAATGGAGACTTCCTCCTGGAAGAACTCAGAACTAATGAGAAGCACTGAGAAAGAATGGAAAGAGGGTAACTGTGGCTGTCCTCTTACAATACAAGGCTGTGTTTATGCATATTTCTTCTGAAAGGAAGACACTGCTTATCTTCTGGGGAGGCTGGAGGAACCATTGTTAATAGTCTTTCCTTGGCTTTTGTCAGATGTTAAACTTGCAGAGATAATTTGTGGTTTAGTGACTCACAGATTGAATATCAGTATTAGGGCTACTACCAGTCAGGTTTTCCAAGAAAATATAATTGCATTGGACTCTCTACCTGAAGCTGAGTCAAATGGGAAAATGTGCTGTTTAAATTCTTTTTCTTTTGTCATCTGTGGTTAAATTTTCCAATGATAAAATGAGTTGATTTTACTGTGTAATCTATGACAGTAGGAGAGGTCAGGCAATAAATAGAGGAAAACCAGGAGCTGAATGTGATTTGCAATGCTTGCAGCTCACAGATAGCAGTGATAGAAATTTGGGCTTTAAACAAATACAGTTTAAAAAATTTAATTTTGTTAAAAGCAAGATATACACATACTAGTAGGTCATAAATAACTATCCCAAGTACACTTATTAGCCCCTGATCAGCAAGACCCCCCTTGCTTAGAAATAGTTGTTATTCTTATTTAACACTAATAATCACCAACTGGGAACTTGAATTCAAGTCCAATTATAATTGATATCATCATTGTTATAGAATAAATTAAAATATTATCTTATTTATTCAATTTGCCTTTCAACTCAACTAGGTGACTCACATATATTATATGGTTTAATTTTCACTAAAACTCTGTGATATAGATATTATCTTTATTTTTTACAGATGATAAAATAGACCCTCTTAAGGAGCTTGAAGAAACAATTTATATCAATCTAGCAAGACACTTATTTCTGTTTATTACCTAGGTATCTTTGAGAAAGAGTGAGTTCATAAATATTGCATAGTTACATGCAAAGTCAAAACATCTCCCACATGAGATTCCTAAGTAGTTCTTCCAATCCTTAATGTTTGGTAATAAAATGCAAATGACAACAAGAAAAGGGCCAGGGGCAATTTAATTATTATTGTTAATAACAAATTATAAATGTTTTCTATAGAAAGCAGCATATTAAGAATTGCAGTCATACATGAGATGGTCATCAACCATTTTTCAGGATGCCACATTTCAAGTGGAGCTATTAATAATCCCATTTCTTGTGTATTTCAATCTCATTTCACAATGTGAAATTGTTAAGAGATATACATTTATCAAAAATGGCCCATAATATTACCTATTTGTCATTACTTCCCTCAGTACATAGAATTTTTGTTACATGATCAATAGGACAGTCTTCTCTTGAGAGAAGGCAGCTAATCTCCCTGCCTAGTTTGAGGTGGGTGACATACAAACATTAAAAATTTTTCTCTGGTTACTTTTTGTTGCTCATTGTTTTTTCTTATCTTCAGACCCCTTTATCAATAAGTCTGCTTCTTCACTGTGGCCTCAAAACATGAATGTTTACTGGACCATCATCCTATATAATAAAAGGCTAATATGTAAATCAACCTAATGGTGGAATGACTAGTCACTATGACGTGCACTGACCACCAGGGGGCAGATGCTCAATGCAGGAGCTGCCCCTGGTGGTCAGTGCACTCAGCCAGAAGCTGGGCTCACTGCTGGTGAGCACAGAGGCATTGGCTGTCCCACCTCCATGGCAGCACTAAAGTGGTCTGACTGATGGCTTAGGCCCCGTATCCCCCGAGGGCTCCTGAACTGTGAGAGGGCACAGGCCTGGCTGAGCCCACCCTCCAGTGCACGATTTTCATGCATCAGACCTCTAGTATTTAGATAAAATAGCTGTTATAGTAATCTAACAAAGTGACCTCGGTTTGGTCTGGACTCAGAAATTATTTTTAACCTGACATGAGGAGAGACTAGAAAAATGGTTCATTAAAAATTATAAGGAATGATTTTGCTAAGAGAAGTGTATTAGTCAGGGTTCTCCTGAGAAACAGAGCCAATAGGATTTGTATATATACAGAAAGAGATCTATTTCAAGTAACTGGCTGCTCATGTGATTGTGGAGGCTTGGCAAATCCAAAATCTGATGGGCATGACTGGAAGGTTGGAGGCTCAGGAAAGAGTCGAAGTGTGATTCCAAAGGCAGTCTTCTGGAGAATTCTCTCTTGTTCAGAGCAGTCAGTCTTTTGTGCTATTTGGATCTTCAACTGATTGGACTAGGCCTACCCACATTACAGTCTACTTTACTCAGAGTCCACAGATTTAAATGTAAATCTCATCCAAAAACACCCTCAGAGAAACATTCAAAATAATGTTTGTCCAAATATCTTGGCACTGTGGCCCAACCAAGTTCACACATAATTAGCCATCACAAGAAAGAATCCATCTTTGAGGTATATTTTCCTGGAAAATCATTTTATAGTTACATTTAGAAAAAATTCCGATCTGGAATAGAGAGTTTTGAAGTGATGCCTCCAAAGTACTAAACTGTTCAAGGCAATCTCCACAGATTTTGCTTTCTTTTCAGAACTATTTGTTTTCAAAATCTAGATTTAGACGGTCATAGGTATTTTTATTATTGCTTGTTCTTGGTCTGTGTGTCTTGTCTGTCTAGTTAATGTTTGAAGTCATTGTTCCCTGGAGATTGAGAGCCAAGTATCCCAGGGAGGTCCTTGAGGTAGTCTGGGGAAAGGGGATGGTGGTATGGGACTGTGCCATCTTTGTAAGTTATCCTTTGTGTTACTTTCCCCTATTGTTGTAGAAACTTCAGCAGATCCCCTTACAAATAACAGCCCCTTGTTGGTTGTGCTGTGGAGGTTTAAGTGGGAAGGGCAACACTAGGTGAAAATACTCCCTGTGAAAGGTCTTCCCTGGATAAGAGTATAGTGGATGCAGATTATGGATTGAATCTTCATGTTTTTCCAAAATTCATATGTTGAAATTATAACCCCTAACATGGTGGTACTAGAGGCCCGATGCATGAAAATTCATGCACTGGAGGGGGTGTTCCTCAGCCCATCCTGCCCCCTCTCACAGTCCAGGAGCCCTCAGGAGCGGGAGGCGACCCGGCGGTCAGGGGAAGGTGACACCCCCATCACACCTCTGCTGCTGCCACTGCCGGCCCTGGTTACCTGAGCCTCGGGCGGCCCTGGGTGGTTGGGGGGCTGAGGGCGGGTGTGGCTGCACCGTGCGCCTGCCACCCCCTCGGCTGGGCTGAAAGGACTGTGGGACTCCGGTGGGGCTGAAGGGACTGGGTGCTGCCATCTTTGTGACAGTGTGACGGTCAATTTGCATATTCTGTCTTTTTTAGATGGGATTAGGAGATAAGGCCTTTGGGAGGTAATTAGTAATGAGGGCGGAGTCCTCATGAATGTGATTAGTGGCCTTCTGCAACTCAGGAAGCAAGCCCATCGGACACCAGATCTGCACGCTCCTTGATCTTGAACTTCCCAGTCTCCAGAATTGTGGGAAATACATGTTTGTTGGTTAAGCTCCCAGTCAATGGTGTTTTTGTTTTAGCAACTGAATGGATCCAGACAGCACAGCAGTGGCAGTTACAGGTGTGGCCAACACATTCAGACATTGGATACATCTTTACTATATTTTGTCCCCTCTGCTTTAGGAAGAGCACAGGGGACAAAAACAGAACAAAATAGAATACAGTGTCTATGCTCAGGAAATTTGAATTCTAATGTGGAGATACAGACAAGCAAACAACAACAAAAAAGTCAAAGAATAATGAGTGCCGGGAAAGAGAAGCAGAGTATTGTGGTCAGCATACGAGAGAGGCGCTATTCTAGAGAAAGTAATTTGAAATGGCTTCTCTCAAAAAAAGAAGACATTGAGTACAGACTTGAGTGAAGTCAGGGAACAAGCTGTTGGACTCTCTGGGGCAAAAGGGAACTGTCGATGCAAAAGCTCTAAGACATAATAATATGTCATAATGGTAATGATATGGGGCAGTGGTTGGCAAATTTATTAGTCAACAGAGCCAAATATCAACAGTACAACGATTGAAATTTCTTTTGAGAGCCAAATTTTTTAAACTTAAACTATATAGGTAGGTACATTGTTATTAACCTACCTATATAGTTTAACTACTGTTGATATTTGGCACCTCCTCCGTGCTGTGTATCCCGTGGCCTGCCTGGGCCACATCTCCCATCGCCCAACCGACACCCCCCACTTCTTCTAACGCCACTTCTTCAAAATAGACTCGTCAAGGCCGAAAACTGACTTCTGTGCATGGGCCACGAAGTTTCAATTGCATTGTACGTGTGCGCCCGCGCGTGGTATTTTGTGGAAGAGCCACACTCAAGGGGCCAAAGAGCCACATGTGGCTCGTGAGCCACGGCTTGCCAACCACTGATTTGGGGAAACAAGATAGTGGAGCTTCAAGCAGCACTTTGGGTGGGAGATGAGGTGGACTTGCTCCTCCCGCCCCCATCTCAGGTGATGCTATGTAAGTAACTAAGTGGGAAGGTCTTTTGTTTTATATGGTTTTGTTGGGTTAGTAAGGGCAAGTGGGTTAGCGATAACCCTCTCATGTTGGGTCAACTGTAGACTTTGCTGAGAAATCTGCTCTGGAAACACAAGTGAGAAAACAAGTGACCCTGATGTCAGCAAAGGCTGATTTTCTGAAAGTACACGCTTACCTACCAATGGAAAGCGTCCACCTCCCAGCAAGACTGGTGGTTCAGAGAGATAACCTACTGGGATTTAAAGACATGGCGTGTGTGTGTGTGTGTGTGTGTGTGTGTGTGTGTGTGTTCAACATCTCTTTACAGACCATAAAATTCAGTGCTTTCTTAAGGAACAAAACAAATGGTGGCTTTAGAAAACTATTTACTCGTATTTTGCTCCATATCTCTAGTGCATCTCCTGCATCTGAAAATCACAAACATCTTTCCTTCAGCTCTTTCTTTGGCTTATTACCCCATAAGCACTGAAAAGTCCAGGCTGTTATTACTTGCAATTGGGGGGCAAATGTCAGCCTCTTTTCTATTATGAGGGGAAATGTGCAATGTGGAAAAGAGGTCCACTTTGGCACAGGTTTATCTTAACCTAAATTGAAGGGTTTTTGTGAAGATTACTGAATTGATGTTTTCAAAATTCTTTGACATCTTCAGATAAAAACACAAGGGTTATTTTTACTATGATGGTAGTACTATATTAAGCAGACTTTTTCATTCTTTGCTATTAAATTTACTGGGGTGACAGTAGTAATAAAACCGTACATGTTTCAAGTGTATAATTCTATAATACAAGACCTGCATACTGCTTCATGCCCTCACCACCCAAAATAAAGGCTCCTCCTGCCACCATTTATTCCCCCTGTGCCCTCTTCCACCTCCCTTCATGCCCCTTTCCCTCTGGCAATCACCATACTGCTATCTTGGATGGGTATTTTTTAAAAAAATATATTTTTATTGATTTCAGAGAGGAAGGGAGAGGGAGAGAGAGAGATAGAAAGATCAATGATGCGAGAAACTCATTGATCGGCTGCCTCCTGCATGCCTCACACTGGGGATCGAGACCGCAACCCAGGCATGTGCCCTTAACCGGAATTGAACCTGGGACCCTTCAGTCTGTAGGTCTATGCTCCATCCACTGAGCCAAACCTGCTAGGGCTTGCTTGGGTATTTTTTGAGTTTCAACCGCTCCCACCTCCAATGGAGCAGTTGTGGTTAAAATTACACATGTTCTCACTTGTGAGGTTATGAGAATACTTTGAAATATTTAAGATTTTGAAGGTAAACTATACATGCATATAATGCCTTATTAAATTTGGAACATAATTTAGGATGGGAGATAAAGTAAATATCTATTTCTGCCACTTACTCCATGCTTCCACAAAGAATCTTCTTGGCCATTGTCCTCACTGAATCTGAGCTGGGATGTTTCATTATATAGAACACTAGAGGCCTGGTGCACAAAAATGTGTGCACTTGGGGGGGGGGTCCCTCAGCCCGGCCTGTGCCCTCTCGCAGTCTGGGACCCCTCGGGGGATGACCACCTGCTGGCTTAGGCCTGCTCCCCGGGGGATTGGGCCTAAGCTGGCAATCAGACATCCCTCTGGCAGCCCGGCAGCCCTCGGGGGATGTCCACTTGCCAGCGGGGAGCAGACCTAAGCTGCAGTCGGACATCCTTAGCGCTGCTGAGGAGGCAGGAGAGGCTCCCACCACCACCGCTGTACTGGCAGCCATCAGCCTGGCTTGTGGCTGAGCAGAGCTCCCC